ATAAATAAGCTCAGCCCTCAAACTCAGCTGACATAGTGGCTCTGCTGAGTCTTCAAAGTGGTACAACGTCCTTGGGTGAACATGTCCTATCCGTGTTGAGAAGCCCTCAGTTCTAAAAGGCCAGAATGTTCAAAACAGAATCTGGCCATCAGAATTGGGAAAGCATTTCTGAACTGAAAGGGAATAGCTTGTCATCCACTTAATTATTAGTGCTTGAAGCATCCATTCAGTAACAAGGAAAATGAGAATTAAAAAAAAAAGAATGTAAAGCAACTGTCTTATCAAAAATGGGGCAGGGCTTAAATCAGTGTTTTTCAAACTTGGCAACTTTAAGATGTGTGTACTTCAATTCCTAGAATTCCCCAGCCAGTACTGGGTGGGGAATTCTTGAGGTATACACATCTTAAAGTTGCCTGGTTTGAAAAACAATGGCTTAAATACAACAGGCATACAAGCATTTTGTTGCTTGAAGTAGGCAACAAATGGAATTCCCTCTTCCCCAACCCAAGGTGCATGGTATTCAGCAACAGTTCTACTTGGTTGTAGCTGAGGCAGAAACCTCACAAAATGCCTCTTTTCCTTTCAGGCATCTTATTAAAAATTGGGTGGGGAGCTTAAAATGCTGATCTGAATTCTAATATAACAGAAATTATTGCATAGACCTCCTGTTTGAGATATGTTTATCTCATGTCTGTCTCTGTCATCATCTGCCATCAGGAAAAAGCTGAAGACAGAGCTTTTGGGGCTTGAACCATGCTCTGCGTTTGGGATTCTGTGTATTTGTTTCATATTTATATTTTAAATTGTATTGTATATTCTTATTTTGTGAGCTGCCAAGAGTCCTGTGATTGTGGCAGGATATAAGTTTGATTAAGATGATAAACATTCCTTTATAATAATAGATTTTGCAAGTAGGACTGTAAAATAAATTCCTATAATATATTTATTAATATAGCAATCTTAAACTGAATAAAACCATAATATCCTACTTTAAATGAATCAGAGACTTGTTTAATGTAAAGAAAAGCATTTCTCATTCTTACCTTTTGGATTTGACCAATCTTATCAACTTACTACTGGAAAGCCATTAATGGAAATGAGATGAAAAGTTTGGCTCAAGGGTCGCAAACACAAATAGGATTCCCTTTTCTTCTCAGTCAAGATGAAATGAAAATTTTAGCCTGCATCTCTCTGACTGAGAAATCATATCAGTGACAACAGATAGGCCATGTCATTGTGGTGGAGCTGAGTGAGTGAGTGACTTCAGCAGGGTGTGGGATCTGGAATCTGTTTCAATAGGAAAAGCTTCTTCAGCAAAGTGACAACTATAATTAGCACAGAAACGTCTGACGTAATAAAGACAGAGTGACATCCAGAGATGAGAAATAGATTATCTGCTGTCAGAGAAAACAACAGACGAGGACCAAAGACATGGTTACTCTAGGTGACAAGACATATATAGCAGGAAGGAAGCTAAAGAATAAAAATGTGATGGAGACACAATAAGAGTCCCAAGGCACTGAGGGAGGGCGGAAGAAACATGATTAGAGATAGTAACCGGATCAAAGTTGGATGAGAAAGCAGCTACGAAGTTTACCAGAGGGAGAAAAACTTATTAGGTAATGATATAAGATACGCATTCAGAAAAAAACAGCTGAAATGCACCGTTTGGTGGATGCAGCAAATAGAGTTGGTGTTTAGGTCTCTAGGGGAGAGGAGAAGACACTGAAAGGTCAAAAAAGGTGCTCTGGTAAAATGCCACAGGGCTGACCCACAGCCTTTTGTTTCCTGAGGTCAGGAAGCCAAAGCACATGCTATTCAACAACAGTCCTACTATGTTGGTACTTGAGGCTGAAAATCCTGCAAAGCCTTTTTTTCCTTTTTGGCAGTAAAAATATTGTAGCAGTAAATTAAGTGAGTAACAGTTTGTTGCCGCCTTTTCGTGACATATAAAAATAGTCAACTCTGGAGACTAATTCAATCAAAGTGTGTTAATGAAAATATTCTTCTTCCTTCAGGACTGCCAGAAAAGGCATAGAGTACAGAAATGATTAGTTATTATTGGTGGAGCTGCAGTTTTGAGATACTGCTAAGTTCTTGGTTTTCTTTCCCACTAAATAGCTGCATCTCAGAGGAATTAAAAATGCTGAGGATCCTTCATTCACACAGTGATGTAATCCTATGAATACATCAGCCTATGATTAGATCAATATAAAACTACTGATAAAATGTAAATTTTCCAGACCTTTCCAAAATGGATTTTACGTTGGGCAGTAAGCCCACACTTTCATTGAGACACTTCCCAGATAATGTATTTGTGAAAATCCAGCCTAACATAGGCTAATCAAATTTATCATTTTAGGGTTTTCCTTGGCAGAAGCATGTGTTTTATATAATGATATACAAACAGGTAACTTTTGTTTTTATTTTATTTAAACTTTACTAGGTACTTCCAAGGGTCTCCTTCACAAAAAGGACTATTCTTTTAGTAAAATCTTCCTGTGCTTTCTTCCTATTCTGAAATTTTCTATCTCACGGCTTTCATTGGAGGATTCAAATTAGCATTTTGGTCTGGGTCTTCCTCAAATCTCTTATCCCCAAGGAGTCCACACAGGAAGAGTATTAGGAGCTCTGACTCCTATAATATCTGTCAGATCTCCCAGTTTTGTTTCTGGTCTTCCAACTCCACTCTTTTCTCTCCTCAATACATTCATCCCTTCCTCTTCCCCCTCCTCTTCTCATTGTAGCCTCCTTTCAGCACTCCTTCCTTCTTTCATCTCCACATTTTGTTCTTCTCATTGGACTTGCCTGCTTCTGTCCTCTTTTGGTCTGGCCAAAAAATGAAGGGTGAATTGTGATGATATAACTCAGCAAAATCACCCAATAATACTATGTAGTATTAATTAATTAATACCACATAGTCAGTATAAGGGAGAGAATGTCACATGCCTATAAACCTTGGCAGAATTATTTACTAATAATAGATTTGGTATCTTATGTTTATAAGTAAAACACTAATGCTGGAATCTCTCCAGCCCATCCCCTCAAACATGGACTGCTGAAAACAGCTGAGAGAAGGACAAGAAAAACAGAGGGTATTGGCTTGCTTAAGTCATAAGTAATATAAAATATCCTGGAATGACGTGCAGTCTGAAATATCCTGGAATGTGATATCCATTGAAATTAGGATTGTAGCATACACTCCATCTCCACTTCCACTTTCAAAGTTGTCCCATACAATATTGGGAAGGGAGGTGTATCTTTTCACTGTGCTCTATTACTGTAGGGGCGTGTTTCTCAACCTTGGCAACTTTAAGACGGGGAAACTTCAACTCCGTGCTGGCTGGGGAATTCTGGGAGTTGAAGCCACCCATCTTAAAGTTGCCAAGGTTGAGAAGCACTACTGTAAGGAGTAAGGAAGATGACCCTGATAGAGATGTGCAGGAGCTCTTGCCCAGGCAAAAGGGACTGAAGCATTTTTTAAGTCTACAACAAGATAACATTCAGAAGTCGCTCAGGCAGATGCCTCCCTAATTCAATGAACTATAAGAAAAGGAAGGAGGTTACAGCACAATCAGACTTGCAAAATTCAGTTATTATAACCACTCCCAGTGTGGTCTCGGCTACCTAGTGGGGCTGCCACATACCTTATTTGTGGCTAAAATTTGGCTGCTATATAAATAGCTAGCAGTATGAGGACATTCCATTCTATCGTTAGATTGCTAAGATTTAGAGCTTAGCCGAAATCTTCCAGAGTCTCAGAATTCTGCAGTTTGATACGATGCTTAACGTGTGCTGTTACCAAACCATGCTGGGAAAGGAATCCAGGAAACTCTCGGTTTATATAAACAGCTTTTATCAGCAAACCCAATTTCAGTCCTTTGAATCACTTTTACAATTCATGTAAAAAGTTTAACTTCCCTTTTATTTAAGCCGAGTATACTGCACTCCTGCTTCATCCTGACTCCCTTGCCCCCCCTGCTTGAATGAACCATTAGCCTCTGTGCCCCTCCCCACTCCACATCCAAGATAGCTCCACATTGCAGTCTACAACAAGGGTTAGTTATTATGAGAAGCAACTGGTTGCAAAAATGACTCCACACAATTGTTTTAGCATCATCACTGAATAAAACAGAGGCTTTTTAACAGGAAGAGAAGGAATGGCATATTTTCTCTCTTGTTCTGAAAATAGCTGGACAAATAAACTCAAGATTAATTATTTTCTGTTCTACTGTGCAGACTGGAAGGAGAGAGGACCTGGATGATTTTAAAGGATGAAAATGGGAGAGATTCCAGCTCCAACTCCCCCACTTAAACATTCAGAAAAACATCAAAAACAGGCCCAGAAAACAGCCGGCTTTATCCTTTCCAGTAATGTAATCTGTGGCCCTCCAGCTGATGGTTGGGTCAGTTGCAGCCACTAACCTCAAGAAAGCCCACCCCCTTGTTTACAACAATGGGTCCTGTTCTGGGGCCTAACTGACAGGGCAGAAAATCACTCACTAAATGGCAGCAGATGCATGCAAAAATATTTCTGAAACTATCTCACTATATTACAAAAGCATTCACTTTCAAATGAAAAGTAATCATACCTTATCACTTAAAGATTCTGTTTGTAAGTTTATCATTCCTTCAGGCTTTCTTGTCTGGCTGAAGGAAAGTAATGGGAGTGATAAGGTTCAGAGGGCTTCAGGGAATAAAGTTGAGCACTGACATCAGTAAGGGGAGTATAAAAAGTCAAGATGACAGCCGCAGCTGCATGATTGGAATCTTGTCTCTTTTTTACATGTGCTTTTGGGGAATGAACATTAAAAAGGGTTGGGACTTCAATTATGTAGTCTGAACTGCCATCATGACTTTTTTGGCCCTGCCCCCCACATAGACACCTCTTAGTGGAGCCCTATGATAGCTCCAAAATTCATACTTGAAAGGATACTGTTTTAAAGCAAACACATTATGAACTATAATGAAACTAATTAGGAAAGAATGTGCATTTCTACCTTGGTGAAAGTCAAACAGTCTTTGTCTTGATCTTTGTCCTTTATTTCAAAGTCATAAAGTGCTTTCCCTTGCGGTGGAGCTGGTGGAAGAGGCTTGATACACTGGATGTAGCTTGCTGGGAAAAAACCATGATTTCCATTCAGTTCCCCATGATACCAATTCTCATCTACTTTTCGGCGTAGTATAATAAGGTCTCCTTTGTTAAATTTGAGGTCACCAGGTTCTTTCCCTTCGTAAGCATAAAGAGCTTTTCCATAGGGAAGCTGAGTGGGGTTCTGCAACAAAAAAAGAAAAAAAAAGAAAAAAAGGAAAATATACTATGTACTATTATGCAATTAATTATAATATACATTATTATTACTATTGGATTAAATTGTCGCACACTGCCTTTTTAAGTGAAGTTCAGAAGGCAAATTCTAAAAATAATGTGTTTAAAAACATTTACAGCAAAAGTAACAAAAGCTTTGAAATAACAAGAGATAAACAGAAATAATCTTAAAGAAAATAGCATTTTTGCCTACCTAAAATTAGGCAGCAGTAGTGCCAAATGTGCTTCTTGGAAGACTATTTCAAACCCAGCCTTTACATCCCCTCCCTCCTGCCCAAATTATTTTGAGGAAACCCATTTCTCATCTCAGATTTCACTACAAAATAGTTTCGTTATGAGGCACCTACAAATTAAACTCCTGTTTCCTGCACTTTGGACAAAAACTGTCTCACATTATTTGCTAATCTGGACACCTATGCAAGAATGTTTCTGTTATACCCAACAGCTGTTTTATGAATTGAGACAATAAGATAATTATCATTCTCTCAATCCACTATATTTTATTTTTCTCTTGCTTCAGTGTTTTCAACTCTCCTTCTCTTTCAACAATGAGTGAATTTATACTCCCATTTGAAGATAATATTTTGATGGAACTGATCCATATGATCTTATGCTGCAAGAAAGTTCGCACTCGGGGTATATTTATATGTATCTATAAAATACAGTTGTGTTTAAAAGAGGCCCCACAATGATATACAAAAAGGTTCATTTACCTAAAATTTTGGATAGCACAAGAAACAGAAAACAACTTACAAATCCAACTCTACTTTTATGATGTATCAGCCATGGTTGAATATCTTTAAGTCTCTATATTTCAGCATTGGAATACACAAAAGGAAAACTATTAATTGCACAATCAATCAAGTAAGTACCATTTTCTGTATCTCTTTGCTGAGTGCACACTCAGAGATAAGCCCTGGTGTATGTTGTGTAAGATGTAAAACAAAACAACCAGAAATTTCCCTCCTTTCCAAGCTATTCCCTGCTTGTAAACTTGTTTTCCTCTCTTCCATTGCAATTTAATTGGCCACTGAATCTCTAAATTAGACAGAATTCTCTCCATTTTTCCTGTAGTTACTCTAATTAAAAAGAGACTCCTAGAAAATGTGGTTTCACATTAACGCAATTTGTCTACCAAAAAAACAAAACAAAAAAACCCACCAAGTAATTGATTAGTTGTATTGATTTCCCTTGGATTTCTTACATCAACAAAAAATAAAATAAGAGTGTGCATCTACTATGAATTTAAGTTTGTCATATAAACGATAAACAGGTAGAGAAGCCAAGGAAGTCTGATAATTTCTTGTATGTCAACATTGCAGAATGTTTCTTTTTTATTTTAATCAATCAATCCTGATAAGACAAACTGAAGGATTAGTACTTGGGGGAAAAGTAAAGGCCTAATGATATGCTGCGGATTCAATCATTGAGCATTTATATTTCAGCCAAGTCAAATGGCAACGCTTAAGAAAGAAACTACTAGCAAACAAACAACAATCACGAGGCAATTAAATGGTAACTAGGAGCCTGAAACCAATGAATTGATTGGTTAGTAGAAATCATTGTATGAAATCCAGTGCATCACTATCTTCTTTGCCTGTTTGAAAGTTTTCCGACCACCAAAGAGCTCTCAATTGTTTTATGCGCAATTCCTCTTATCCTCCAGTCCAGTGTGAAGGCTTCCTCAGCATTACTCTATTTTCTTAAAGACTTTTCTGTTTTCTTTTTAAATCTCCAGTACCTCATGTTTCTGTTTCAGCCTATCTTCTGCCTTGTTGGCTCAACGACTTTCTCTCCCCAGCTTAGCATGTTGCCACTTCTCTTTTTAACATGCTGTGATCCTTCTCATTAACCACCTCCTGTCTCAGTTCCTGATCTCCTCTGAACTTTTCCTCCCTCTCTTTTACCCACCCTTCCTGTTTTTCAGTCCACAGCTTCTTTACATACTTCTTTCTGCCAGCTCCTTAATTTCTTCATGCCTATTAGCTTCTTCTGCATCTTGGAACCTTTTTCCCAATTCTCACCCTACCACACAGGTGGGCAACAAGCTGAAGCTTAACCCAGACAGGTAGAAATCCCATGACTGAGAAGTATTTATGGTTTTAATGTTTTGTGTGAGCTGCCCAGAGTCCCCCATTGGGGGGAGATGGGCAGGGAGAAATTCAATAAATAAACAAACGGTAATCTGGAGATTTAGGGATTTTCTACAAGGATCAAATATTGCAATGTCTTTGGTGTCATCATCTACTACAGCAGCAGAAGACAGAAGTGCCTTTCCAGCACTGGTGCAACAATAGCAATTATTTATTCATTGGTTTATTTAGAGAATGTATAACTCAAACAATGCAACTCTGGGCAGCTTACAACAGAAAACAAACCAACATAAAAATAACAGCCTATAATGATCAGGAATAGGCAACCTGTCTGACATTAATCCTCTCCTGATGGGGACTTTATTCATCTCAGCCCCGATGCCCAGGGGAATAGCCAAGTTTTAAAGTCTATCTACAGGCCAGCAGTATTGGGGACAACTGAACAATGGGGGTGGGAATTATTTCAAAGGGCAGATGTCCCTACAGAAAAGACATGGCTTCTAGATTTCATCAGATGGCACTGTTTCAAGGAATGACCTAAAGCATGCCCACACTTTTAGAGTGGTTAGGTTCAACAGATATTCCAGAATAACTCAGTCCCATGCCATGTAGAACTTTATAGGTGATAAGAAGCACCCTGAATTGCACTTGAAAGGTGATAGGGAGCCAGTGCAGCTTATGAAATAGTGGTGTTACACAGGGACATTCCAAAGTACACAGATAACTATTTGTGCTGCTGCATTCTGGATGAATTATAGCTTCTAAATGGTCTTCAAGGGCAGCTCCATGTACAGCATGTTGCAATGGTCCACACTCTCAGCCAGGACATGAGTGAGAGCAAGCAGGGTCTCTGAATTTAGGAATAATGGTTCACAAAATGAAGTTGTGCAAAGGCCCCCCTGGCCACAGTTGCCACTTGCTCATTGAGCAGGAGTTGTGAATCCAGGAGGGCTGCACGCTACGACTGAGGGGAGAAGTGTAATCTCAACAAGAACCAAAAATGGAAAACTCCAGTTCCAGGATCTGGGATCTTTTCCTGTAAATTATAAATTATATTTACATTCTAACTGGGCTTCTTTATTGGCTCCTCCTGATGCTTCACAACAATATATCACATCCTTACTAATTGCAATAGTTGCCAAAGTATTTCTGGGCCCAAACTGCTAGTTTTGAACTTTAAACTTAATGTGCGCTCTCTTTCGTGCTTGCCTTATATTGCAGTCATTGGAGACCTTGCCCACTGTCCTACTGTTAAGTTCTGTAATGACTGGCATTCACACTGAAGGCCCACCTATAAAATTTCTTCCAAAATATGTATAATTGGTTTCCTCTGCTGTTGCTTGTAAAAAGCTTTATTATGTGAGCCCCATGGCTTTTTGCTAAAGAACAACTTGTTTATAGCATTTTTCTACCACTGATCCTGCCACCCTACCACCCTACCACTGACTCCACATAGACTCACAGAGGTCCGCACTTGTTATTACAGATGCTACATTTCTTTTAGTTTTGGTCTGGATTGCTTTGATTGGCCCAGCTCTTCAACTGGCTTAGAAGTGGTTTGTAATATTACGTTTATATTTTTATTGAGCTGTTGTCATTATAAGCAGCTCTGAGAAGACCGCCGTCTTGAAAAGTAGCTAAAAACACATTACAAATAATTAATAAATAAACCATTTCTTGAGCTTATTTATCTCAGGCCTAGTCCTACTTCAGATTAGGCTCTGAAGTCATTACTAGCCAATACAGCCAGACAAAATGTAGAAGGGGAACGAAAAGAGTAAGACATCCACAGTATGTCCGCTCAGCAATGAAACAATAAATGCCAGTACAAGGCATTAATAACTATTAAAACCGATAATGCTTATTTTGTGGCTCATTACTTGAGAAGCACTGGCGCAATTTCTCATTTTGTGAAAGAATATAAAGGAACACCTCCACATTCTGATAGATGCTTTACACAGGCGGTCAGGACAAGGCATATGGTTTCTGTCATTCATTACACCTTATTGGAAATCTCATCAGCTGTATCCAGAAGAGAGAGGGGGCTTCTTATTTAAATATATATTGAAATAATTTAAACCAGCAGAAACTGAGGAGGAGAAGCAAGGTAGAGAAACTGGCTGAACTGGGGCATTCACAATAGTATACGTAGTGTTTCACTTTCCTTCAGCTCTAGCTAAAAGGCACAGTTGTGATAACTGTTACATTACCACTGTGAAAAGCTGGAAGAATTCTGTGTAATTCAAAAGTTTTCTTAATTGCATGTCAATAGGAATCAGAAAAATAAAGCTCATCAGCTTATTAATTACATATATTCATTAATTATGCAGTTATTACGATGGAAAGGGCACTAATTTCTTACTATTTCCCTTCTTCCCATATCATACAAACTGCTCAGAATTATTGGAGCGTATCAGCAATTTTTCAACACTCTTCCATCAATAAAAAAATAGTCTACTTCCATTTGTCTAGAGAGAAAATCCTGCCATTGAATATGCCCAAGGGGGGGGGGGGGGGGGGGGCTTGAAGGATTTCTGAGTTTGCACAGTTTGAAGGAGCTTTCCACTTGCTGATCCCAAATAAGCTTCAAGGAATGCCACCAAAGGAAAGGTTTGCACCTAGATGTGCATAAAAATGTATGCCACTCCATGATTCTTCAAAAAGGGATTGGCAAAACCCCCTATCTAAATAAAGATATATTTTCACAAGGCCACATTTTGGGAAAAGCTTACTGTCAGGCGTGGGCATTTCAATCCTGCTACAAAAGCAAGCATTTTTAAAATTTCCTTTACAACAATGGAAGATGGAGACAATAGTGTTTTGTCCAAGGGATATATTGTCATTAATATGTAAGTTCATTTTATAAGTAAATAAGTGTTTCATTAAAAAACATGTAAGCTAAAGAAAGACAAATTTGCTAAGTTTTTAACTGTGGATTCAGCTGACATATTCAAATCCTGTAGTAACAGTCTATTGTTTTAATCTTCTGTATATGAAATTCAGAATTAAAGGCACATGGCCTGCTGAATTCCTTCTTGTTTTAAAGATTTAGGGAGGGAAAAGGGAGACTAATTGAGCTTGTGCATGAAGCAAACATGAAGTTGCTGCAATGGCTGACATGTTGATGGCATTTATACAAAAAATACCCTATTATACTCCTGAAACATTCCATATGTGGACATGTGCATGCGGCTACACACAGAGAGATATATAATGAAGACTGAGTTCCATTTTCTCACTGCTCCTCAAATCCTCCTCAAAGACCTTAATTTAAGGGGTTATTTACATGTTTAATTTCTTTGGACATTTGTGAAGAGAAAGTTCCAATTTAAATGCATATGGAAAGTCCTTGCCCATTAAAAGTTCCTTACCAAATGTTCCAGATCATTTATTTGATGTATAAAGAAGGCAGCCCAAGTTGCTTATCAATGGTGTGCTAATACTGAATATAAACAATCTCTTAAATGGAAGAGCCATAGCACCAAAGGTTCAGCTTTGTCTTGACTTGTCATATTTAAACTGGACCTCAAAAGTTCCACTTCTCAAGGCAAAATTACAATTGTTTGAAAATTACATTAATAAGGGAAAACTAACAATATTGTGTCACAACTTATTTTGGAACAGCTCTATTGAATACATTGTGGAAAACCAAAGTGGTGTGCTGAAGTCTTCTCAAGGGCTATCAGATCACTTTGGTGCTGCAGTACTTAGCACATAAAATATCAATTATGGATAATTATTAGAATGTGTAATATATACCATTTCTTGGGCTCTTTCCTCTCTTTGTATAAAATCTTCTGCTTTCTACATCCTCCAGTTACAGTGATCATTTCATGCATATGACAGTCTTCTATAACTCAAACCTTATTGAACAATAAATTTATTGAATTCTTAAAGTGTTACAGGATCTTTTGTTACTTATCTACCATAATCTATGTTATTTCACTGGATTTCAGTATTTACTTCTTTCAAACGCATAAAAGAATCTTAAAACTTTGTATAAATAAATTTTCTTGTATACTGTATCTACTAAGATACTCAAAACATTCAGAGTAAAATACTGCAAATTTCAAGTCCATGTGTTCTCAAATTCTATGCAAATAAATTAACCACACGTTTCCTTTCTCCTTCACTTTTGGCCACCTTTCCAACAACTTTTTTGCTAGTAACTCTTTATGTAGAAGTCATGTTTAATACATTCCAGCTGGTTTAGTAGTGAAATGGTGGTTCCCCAACTTGTATCAATGCATTAATATATAAATGTATAAATTGAGAACTGTTATTGCAAACAAAATGTAAGAAAAATAAATCTGGTGGTTGCAGAAATAACTTTGAGAAAATAAAATGTCCTGAAAACACTTTAAAATATAACAAAACTTCTTAATGGCCCTCAAATCAAGATTTCAGGTTTGAATTTTTAAAGAATAGTGTGTTTTTTAAGTTGCAGAAATCAGTTACAGAATTAAAACATTATACAGAACCAGTACAGTGCAGTTTAGTAGACTGAAGTAGTGGTCAGAGTTGTACTGTAGGTACACAGTTACCAAATTCCCATCTAGTATGAAGCTTCTTCTGTTACTTTAAAACAGTTACTCTCTTCAGCGGAGCTAACCTCACAGTACTGAGGGGATGAAGGGGACAAGGAAAAACACCATTTGGGGTTTTTTGGTGGAAGAGCAGAATAGAAAATGCAAATAAATTAATAAATGTCCTGACTGCATGGAGTCCATCAACTGTAATTTGATACCAATTACATTGTGAAGTTTATATGCAAATTATGTTAATTTATGCAGTTCAACGGTATGAAAAACAGAGAACATGGCCAAGAGCTGATTTCTGATGTGCTACATTCTGGACTGAATTATGGCAGTGGATTGTCCCTGCCCCCCTCCAAATCTTTAACTG